ACTCACGCAGCTACGCGTGTGCCGGTCTTGTCCACTGCCACGTACCAGCACCCGACAGAAATATCGGGAAATTAGCACAGCACACAGAGCCTGAGAGACGTCCGCAGAATGGATGCATGAAGGGTGCGCAGTGAGCCAGGTGCCCCCGCCCTCCTTCCTGCCCCATCTATCTACCCCTCCAACAGGAAGGGACACCCCGGATGATCAAATGTAGGTGACAACGTGTTTAAGTTGTAAACAGAGGAGTTATAAATAACACAGGAGTGACCACCATTGGTCACAGAGCAAAAGGAAGCCCGGAATGCCCTTCCCCACCCGAGAGGGGCTGGCTCTCCCGCTCCTCCCTCTTCCTCGGCCACCTGCCACCTGCATGGTCTGCACTGTAAGCATCCTGCCCCGAGAGCAGGCCGACCCTGGTCACCAGGAGCCTGACGGAGGGCTGTGCGTCCAGGCAGAGGGACAGCAGGAGACCCAGGCAGGCCAGAAGGGGCTCTACCTGGGGCGCAGTAGAGACGCAAAAGGTGAAAGACTACATCCAGGGGGCGCCTGGGGGGCTCAGTCGGTTAAGTGTCCAACTCTTGGTTTCAGCTCAGGTCATGATCTCGTGGTTCATAAGTTCGAGCCCCGCCTCAGGCTCTGTACTGACAGCATGGAGCCGGCTTAGGATTCTCTCTCCCTCTCTCTCTCTCTGCCCCTCCCCGCCTCTCTTGTTCACTTTCTCAAAATAAATGAATTAAACTTAAAAAAAAAAAAAAAAGACTACAGTCAGGAGAGATCTTCTAAGAAGCCCTGACAAGTCATCCCTAAGTTAGGTGCCACGTTGTACCAAGGACAGCATGGCACTGAGTTATAGCCATCCACAACCCCAAGCCCCATCCTCACCAGCACGGTCTAAGGAACCCGCATGCCCTGGGCATGGGGACGAGTTCAGCCAGGAGGACCTGTGGCAGCAAGCAGCCCTGCAGTGCCCGTGAGTGCGTGCTCTGCTTCCAGAGAACCCCCTCCCACAACAGATCCCTTCCAGAAAAGGAAAGCCCATCTACTTACAGGGCCATCATCAAGAAGATACACAGATTACTAAGGGGGAAAAAAATCTTGATACGCTAGTGCACCGTCGGTGAGAATTTTAAATGGTGCAACCATTACGGAAGACAATACCAAACATTAAAAATAGAACCGCTATATAATTCAACAATCGCCAGTCTGGGTACAGATCCAAGAGAATTCAAAGCAGGATCTCAAAGAGATATCTGCACATCCGTGGTCACTACAGCTTTATTCACAACAGCCAAGAAGTAGAAGAAACCCACGTGTCCATCAACAGATGAATAGATAAAGAAAATGTGTTAATTACGCACATACAATTGAGTACTACGCAGGCTTATGAAGGAAAGAAATCCTGTCACATGCCACAGCGAAAATGAACCCCAGGGACATTATGCTAAATGAACTAAGCCAGTCACAAAATGACAAATACAATAGAAGTCCATTTATAAGGTATCCAAGCAGCCAAAATCTTAGAAACGGAGTATGAGGGTGGTTGCCAGGGCGCCTGGGGGGCTCAGTCGGTCAAGTGTCTGACTTCAACTCAGGTCACGATCTCATGCTTTGTGGGTTCAAGTCCCATGTCAGGGCCTGTGTTGACAGCACGGGGCCTGCTTGGATTCTGGGTCTCCCCCTTTCTCAGCCTCTCCCCCTCATGCTTACACGCACGCACTCTCTCTCTCTCTCCCAAAATAAACATTCAAAAAACATTTTAAAGAAAAATAGGTGGTTGCCAAGAGCTGTGGGGAGAGAGAAGAATTAGCGTTTAATACAGTGTTTGTTTTGCAAGATGAAGAAGTTTTAGATTTGTAACACAATGTGGATAACACTTAAAAACAGTCACATTTAAGGGATGCCTGGGTGGCTCAGTCGGTTAAGCATCTGACTTCGGCTCATGTCATGATCTCGGTTTGTGGGTTGGAGCCCCGCATCGAGCTCTATGCTGACAGCTCAGATCCTGGAGCCTGCTTCAGATTCTGTCTCCCTCTTACTGCCCCTCCCCTGCTTGCGCTCTCTCTCTCTGTCTCTCAAAAAATTAAATTTTTAAAAAAAAATTTTTAATGGTCACATTTAATGTTTTTTAACCATTATTTTATTTTTTTATGTTTTATTTATTTTTGAGAGAGAAATAGAGACAGCGTGAGCAGGGGAAGGTCAGAAAGAGAAGGAGATACAGAATCTGAAATAGGCTCCAGGCTCTGAGCTAGCTGTCAGCACAGAGCCCGACACAGGGCTCGAACCCACAAACCGTGAGATCATGACCTGTGCCGAAGTCAGACGCTTAGCCAACTGAGCCCCCCAGGCATCCCATTAACCATTATTTTAAAAAATCTTGAAAGCACATTACAAAAGAAAACCAAAAATATGTGACATAAGTTTTGAAAGGAAATCTGTGTGGCAAGATAAAGCAGCAGCAGAGAGAGGGAAGAACACAGGTCCCATCAATTAAATCCAAACACTCAGCACGGAGTCGACACCCCCGTGTGGGGCTGAGGAAGGGGCGGAGGTCTGTACACCTGCTGTGGCCCCGCTCTGAAGGTGCATCTGGCCACCCTCGGGCCGGTCGTTCTCTCCGACGCCCCACCCCCCGGTCCGTGCAGAGCTCCAGAGAGATCTGGGAGACTGGCGGGTCAAGGGCTTGACCAGGCACCCAGGTGTGAGCCACTGTGACCCTTCTCATAACCTCTTCTCTGGGGCCAGCACCCTGCACCGGCCAGGCTGGGAGGCCCGCGTCTCTGGGTCCACAAGAGCATCCAGCAACCCAAACCCCCAGGTCTGCTGCCCGGCGTCGGCCTGGCACCATTCCACATAGAGAGAAAGTCAGGAACAGCCGTTTACACAGAAACCCGGTGCCTCAGTCCCTAACAACTGTAATTACAACCAGCTTTTGAAAGAGAGAGCAGAAAATAGCAGCCTGGACCTAGCCGTGAATTGGGGGTTTCGGGGTAAAACACACATCCATGGCGCTTGCTGTCATGGCGGCCAGTCTAAACAAGTGACTGGCCAGCCAGACCAAACAGCCTTCTGGCCAATGTATGTCTCCCTCTGATTTAATGAGCTGCCTGCTCATTAAGCACTAGAAGCAGGTCCTCAGGGAAGGGACCTCCTGGCACAAGGCCACGCGGGCTCATGGGTGATAAGGACAGAGGAGAAAGGGGCCCCTCCAACCCCCAGCGCATGGCCAGTCCCACCGGACACCCCGGGCCTCTGCCACTTTGAGGTGATGCCTTCTGTAGAGGTACATCCTGTTCCTTCTACAAAGCAGTGTTTCTGCCAAGGACTCCCTTCTCTAGGGAAGTTCCACATCCTAACCCTTGGCTCACCAACCATCTCGGCACAGGGAACCCCTCCCCCAGACACCCCCCAACCAAGGCCCCCGTGCTTTCTATCTGAGTGGGAAGATGAGGAAAGTAGAGGGAAGACCTGGGCATATGCTGAATGCCAAGTCTGAAGTCACAGACAGGAAAATCTCACACCATCCCTCGAGACCGAGTGGAGAACTACACTTGAGCCACACGCCCACCACTTCCTAGACCCTGGGACTCCTCACGACCCCTCTCTCTGAGCTTTGGTTTAATCTAAAAAAACGAGGGTGACAAGAACCCCCTCCACAGCTTACTGTGGACATTAAATGAGCCCACGTGAACGTGCTTTGAAGCAACTCCTTCCCACATACATGAGAAACAGCTCTGTTCTTTTTGATGGTTTCAGCAAATACAACTTAATAAAAGGTGCTGAAGGACTGGAAAGATCAAGGCAGTCAAAAAGGTTTGTTTTTTTAATTTTTTTTTAACATTTTATTTATTTTGAGAGAGCGCATGCAAGCAGGGGAAGAGCAGAGAGAGAGAAAGAATCACAAGCGGGCTCTGTTCTGGAAGCTCAGTGCAGGGCTCAGACTCATGAACCGTGAGATCACGACCTGAGCCAAAGTCACGGGTCAGCCACTTAACTGACTGAGCCATCCAGGCGCCCTAAAAAAGTTATTTTAATAAGCTAACGAACTGCTCAGAGAAACAGGGACAAACATGCTAATTTTCTTCCCAAAACTGCTGTCCCTGACCTGAGGTTTCTGCCGAGGAGATGAACTAGCTGGATGTCAAGTTGGTGAACAGCCAACTGGAGCTCCCAACATCTGCTATGTGTTTTCCATTTAGGTGGTAGATTCTCCTGCAGACAAAGAGCCCAAGCCGGCTGTACCAGGATGACCAATCTAACCACCTCCAAACCCCATTCTCTCCAAAAAGCGATGCGATGCCATCTGACCAATCACAAACCTGCCTTCGAAATGTACAAATTTCAAGTAGTTTCTATTTCAGAGCAGAGCACAGGGACAAATTCCTTCACAGTGATCGGAAGGCAACTTTGTTTTCGTTCAGTCTCTGCTCTGTGTGCCAGAGTCGGAAAGCAAGGGGCTGGAATGTCTTCCAGACTCTGCTAGAAGGCACCCAAAATGCCAGAAAGGAATACACACACTCTTTCAGAGCCCAAAGCAACTAATGAAGGAAATTTTGCTGAAATCCCACATTTGTTCTTAAAACTTCAACTCAGTCTTCTTATGTACCACAATAAATTGCTTTACTTTTCTAATGTTGAGTGAATTAACAGCTAATTATCAAACATTTCCCCTCAAATCTGAATTTAAAAGATACGTCAACATTCTGTCTCACTGCCCAGTGGACCCCACACACCCTCCAGGGCACGTGGATCTCAATTTCAGGAGCAACAGAAGGGGAGAGGGGAAGAGTGCCCCTCCAGCCATCACATCAATTCCATCCTTGGCCTTTAATCCAGAAGAAGCACCTGACTCAGAACAGCTCCCCGGAGAGTGCAGAGAGAGGGGTCTGTGGTTTGTGGTGGGTGCGGCCATCCACCGGGGCACCCCCGGCACCTCGAAAAGGGCACCAGCTAAGCTGCGGGAGCGCTGACCCCACCCCGCCCTGCCTCTGGCCACTCACCCGTATCCGGCGCATGGCAGCCACGATCTCCACTCTGCTGTTGGGCCTCGGCACATCCAGGCTTCCGACGTACTGCGGGGAGGAAGCAAGCACTCATTGAGAAGAGGGACTCGAGGGACTCCAGGGACCCTGGTCACAGGATGTCAGCAGAGGGAAGGATATCCAGGTAAGCTCCCCATTTTGCGGAGGAGGAAACCAAGAGCCAATTGGGGTGTCTTGTTTGGGGGCCACTTCCAACTTCATAAAAATCAACGAAACAAGAAGCCATTGCTTCCTTTTCCATCCTGCTCTTGATCAGAAATGCGGCCAAGCACGGCATTCAAGCAGGTTCCTGAATCAGAAAGACCTGGGTGGGATGAATGTCTTTGCCTTTGTCTCAATCTCCTCATCTGTAAAATGGGATCCCATTTTTGATCTGATCTTTATGATCAAAGGAGAAAAGATATAAAATTTCTTACAAAAATAATGTTTTGCTTATATTAAAGCATCCCCTCCCCCCTTCAAAAAAAGGAATATGTGCTTTTTTCAATTCATAGTACTTCATTGAGTTAGCCCTACGATGTTATAGAGGCGCTAGAAGACTATTCTAGCGCTATAACGCGCTTAACTAAGTTCCTAACCGGAGGAAAAGAACACACTAATTCTATTTTATTTAAAATTTTAATCTTCTAAAAAAAAATTAATCTTCTAAAACTTTTGAAAACATAAAATGGCATTCAGGTTACTGTTTAATATATGGATTCGTCCTAACAGTACACTATTCTAATAATGCAGAAATATGCTGAGTAAAAGAATAAAGCCCCCCCGCCCCCCCGGCCCCACTGCCCGTCGATAGTTTGACATACTCTTTTTGTTTGCTGACGGGCACATATATTCATAGACAGAAAGGAATTTATTTTACGTAAAAAGGTTCACTCCCCACACAATTCTACTAATTTTTTTGTTTTTTTTTTACAACTTTATTTTTATTTGAATGAGAGACAGAGGGCAAGCAGTGGAGGGGCAGAGAGAGAGAGAATCTGAAGTAGGTTCCGAGCTATCAGCACAGAGCCTGATGCGGGGCTCGAACTCACAAACTGTGAGATCATGACCTGAGTGAAGAGTTGGATCCTCAACTGACTGAGCCACCCAGGCGCCCCTACTTCTTAACATTAAATACAACCTGAACATTTTTCTCTGCCAATGCATACAAGTCCATCACGACACGTGTGCTGACCACCTACCCATCGAACATCACTACAAACCACATTGCTTCTGCTACGGCCTCATCTACATACATCCTCATCTGCATACGTCCTCATCTGCATATGTCTTCATCTGCATATGTCCTCATCTGCATATGTCCTTATCTGCATACCTCCCAGCTCCTCCGGAGCTCTGTAGGCGGGGCTTCTACAAGCAGGATTGCTAGATCAAAAGTACAGAAGTATCTTGAGATCATTCCTCAGTACGATGAAACATCCCATTCCATACTGACCTATTGGGGCATGCCTTTCCTTTTTACGTTCAAATTATATAAAATAGCCTGGGGGATATACTAGAAATTACCAGCCCATAAATAACTTACATGTCTACCTAAGCAAAGATTGCATTAAAAGAAGAGGGTAGTCATCCCTGTAAGAAATGTGGTTCCTGTGGTTACAGGAATAGAGGTTCTTTCTGAAATTTAGAGCGAAGACTAGCCCCGGGAAGCAAGGTTCCGATAGCTGAATACTACCAAAAGGTTTCCCCTAGGATTGATCCAGTTTGTGCTAATCCCCTGAAGCATGGTCCCAGCAGCCGTGGCGAGCCGTGGGCCTGCTAGCTACATCGTGGACGCAAGGTGAGCCGTGCACCTGTTGATAAAACATCTGGCAACTCACTTAGGTAAATTAAGGCCCCGAGATCTAAGAGTGGTCAGATTTAAATATGGTTGGTGGTTCTCCCCGCTGTGAGCTCTGCTGGGACCCCACAGCATCAGGCAATGTGTCCGTGACCCCCACAGCCCAGAATGACGACCCAGGCTCGTGACTGCCAACCTTCATGGAGCCACCAGCAGGGCCGGGGGGGAGGGGGCAACTTCCCCCCTCCCTGTCCCATGCTCTGCCCGCCTGGGGGCTCCTGCCCTGAACTCCGAGCAGTCAGACCTTCAGGAGCGCCTGTTCCCTCAGGCATCACGTGAGAGCCAGGACCTCAAGTCCTAGCAAGGTTGCTCATTACAGGCGAGCCGGGGAACCTGGCCCGGCTTCCCACGCTGATCCCTGCCACACAGGAGGGCATGCTGCTGGTGAGATCCACCCTGAGCGTGAATACGAATGCCCAGAGGGGACCGGTCCCCACTTGCCTCCTTCAGTCCATCAGCCACCACCCGTGCACACAGCACACGCCTTCACACATGTACAGGGCCCGCAGGCTCACACCCTGCACATGCCACAGGCACACACGCCTCACACCCACGTGGTCATGGCCCACACTAACATCTGACACTCAATTCACCCCACGCATGCACTCACTGGTCTGCCTTCCTTCCCAGTCGCGTGAAGTCACAAATCTGCCCTCTGAGAATCCGTCCAGAGGAGGTCACCTCCAAGAGACGCACCTTAGGGTCAAATTCCCCACTACAGATGTCTCTCAGGGTCAAAGAGATGAAAAGGACACACAGGGTAGGGTTCAGGTCCACATCTAGTCAAAAGCTAGATATTCACACTGAGGACGTGAGGCAAAAGCAGAACCACAATGCCCGGGAAGCAGTAGAGACATCAGAAAGCCCATTCCTCGGGGCAAAACGAGACGGCCATGTGATACCATGTGCAAGTACGGCCTCGCGACAGCCTGTCCTCAAGCACGAAGCATCAGCACCTCCCCAACGAACTTCAGTCCATCAGAGCATCTTGAGATGGAGAAAGTGCAAGACACAGTCTGAGACCAGACCCCCTGCTAGAGGCAGGGCCTTACAACTGTTCCACTTCCATGGTCAAGGCTGCCATCGTGTCTGTGGTCAACGCATTTCTTCCCACTCACCTTTGGAAAGTTGCCTCAGGCCTGAACTCCATCACCTGCTGAGCTAACAACCTCTGAAGGTCCTCGCTTCCGTCACCTCCTGCAGGGATCAGGGAAAAGCCTGTTTTGTGCCTTCAGTCAGAGGCTGACACACCATGACAGGCTCTCGCTCAGCACGGGCATCCCCTTTATCTGCCTCTGCTGCGGGGCTCTGGGTGCCACAGGCTTCTGGAACAACAGAAGCGGGCTGGCTTCAAGCCTGGGAATCAAAGAAACGATTTCCAGAAGGGAAACTCGTGTTCTTCCTCCTCCCTGTGGCCCCATCGCCATGCTCGCCTGGGCTTCTTCATCTTGACCAACAGCCTCCAGAACATCTACCAGTTGTTCAAGCCTGAGATCTGGGAGTCATCCCTGAATGAGCTTCTCCCTGACCCACTGCAGCCAGTCAGCGACCAGGACCTACAGCTACTCCCACACTCACTCCCACACTCACTACCTCACCCCCCAAAACCCTTCCTCTTCGTCCACAGTGTCTCCTCATGGGTTTCTCCACTGTCCCCAGGGCCCCTCCAAACCACTCCCACAGGCCGTCACAGAGATCACGCTCAGATGCAAACCAGCCCGTATCCCTCCCTCGCTTAACAACCCCGTGTGCGGCACCAACTCTGAAGGGGACCATCAAAGCCCTCAGCGTGGCCGACACGCCCCCAGGGCCCACAGAGCGTAGTGTCCTCACACCACCTGCCTCTCTGTTGTCAGGAAGGGCCTCACACACATCCCACATCAAGGAGCTTCTACACAGAGCCCTCCCCTGTGCACAGAAGGCTCTTTCTTCTACCCTCTCTCTCCAGCCCTCCAACCTCCACGGGCCCTGCAGATCTCCGCCTCACCTCTGCTTCCCTCTGCTAACCACCAGGGAGGGCGGCTCACAGCGAACACTCCCGCGATCCCCCCCAGATCTCCTGCAGAACATCGACACGTGGCTATGTAAGGACGCCCCCCTCACGGCTAACCACGCCCACGTGACTGGAATCCCCCAAGAATGAACATATTCACACCCGCCCTGTGCACTCCCCGTGGACGATCACCACAGTGAGGAGGGACGGAGAGGACTGAGACTTGGATCCTGACCCGTGCTGTGACATCACAGGCACCAGCCGCCCCACCCTGGGCGGTCCCTGTCGGGATTCTATAAAGTTGCCTGTTTTGTGCAGGTACCTGAACTGGACCCAAGGCAGGTGCTCTCAGAGTAGCACACGCAATCCCTGGCTTATGGAGAGATGAAGTGCATGGGGCGCCTGGGGGGCTCCGTCGATTAAGCATCCGACTCTTGATCTCAGCTCAGGTCACGATCTCGCGGTTCATGGGTTCGAGCTTCGCGTCAGGCTCTGCACTTACAGCATGGAGCCTGCTTGGGATTCTCTCTCTCGCTTTCTCTCTGATCCGCCCCCACCCCCAGCCAAAATAAATAATTTTTTTAAAGTAGATGCCAAATAGAAAAATTAAAAAAAAAAAAGATGAAGGACATCCCACCTTTCCGTTGGTGGATTTTTGGTCACCTGGCCTTCTGTAAGACTTGTACCTGCCTTTCAGGAATCCCGCTGGTGTGGCATCTCCTAGGGCTTCTATTCAGAACATCTACCACAGAGCTTAAGGGGAGAATAAAGGAGTTTTAAAATATCCAGGCCTACTTCTCTTCCATTAGCCCAAGGGAAAAAAAAAAACTAGAAGGAAGATTCAAATTGCAGTGCCACTCAAAATATAAGAGGGCATGTGTCACCATTATCTGCAGCTTCATCTTCCAGATGAGGAGGAGTTCGCTGCAAATGAGGGTAATCGCAGGACTTCGGGTATTTTTCTTTAAGCTTCTAGACAACATTGCGTCGTGCTGGATTCATACCTCATGAAATTACGTTCATCGTCCTGCCTCCGCTTTCCAGAGACCGGCTCCCAGAGGCCCTGACAAACTACACTGTGATGGTATCTCCCGGGGCCTGGGCGTGAATCACACGCTCCAAGCAGTAAGACTTAACAGCCACCCGTGGAATCTGTTAGACTCTCTGCCAACACATTCCTCAGGAATCCCTTTATTT